TCTGGAGGAAGGAGGCCTGGGGCAAAAGTCCTTCCAGCAGGGCTTAGCTGCTGCTGCCATTGCTGGTGACTTTCTGAAAATGTTGGGCTTAGGCTTTACAAGGGCAGAGGAATGGGAGAAAAATTCCCTCTGGGGAAACTAACTGAATATTTCCATGCTGTCATACGTGAGCTGCCTGTACTAAAAGTTCTGCTCTTAGTTTCACAGCTCAGGTTTAATCCAGGCCAGGAGATCCACTAAATCATCTACTAAATGGATATCACTGGCTGTGAGTTGAATTCCCATACAAGATGGCTCAGGCCATGGAGTTCAGCGATGCAGTGTGTGAAAAAGTCCCTCATTTGTGTAAGGTGGAGCAGCATGAGGCATGGCACGGCTAGCTGTTCTCAGCCTCTAACTGGAAGCCATCTCTGTTCATTAATGGGATAGCTGGAAGTCCACAGCCAGCCTATAATCACCCTTAGCTAACACTGTGAAGATAATAACTAGAGGCTTTTTTCTCCCTTTCCACTCCCCTCCTCCCCAGGTGTCCACTGTGGTTATTTACACCTGTGGAAAGTGAGTGAGAAAGTAGGTATAAAATGCCGCCATACTGGTTTGGCAGTGTTCTACTGCATTGTAAATGAGGGCTCAGATTTGTAGCTGGAGGACTGGGGCCTCTTTCAAGTCTTTTTCATGTTTTTAATCCTCAATCTTTGTATCCTTTTTTTTTATTCTCCTGAATAGCGTATCTGGGGTGAGGTTGCAAAGTGATGCTTCAGTGGGGAATTTCTTAAGAGGGATTAATTTAAAAATGATTTAGGAAATCTCATGATTTCATCAAACACTTCACAGGAATACTGTGAAGCAAAGCAGCGTGCACAGATACTCCTTTGGGAGTATGACAGATCAGCTGAACTGTGTTTTCATGAGGAAAATGTGCTCCTTTTTTTGTCTGTGCAAGTATTTGGTACTAGTGGGTTATAATGCCCTCATGAAAATCTTCTGCGCTCAGCCTTGCAGGGCTGTCAGCGGCAGTTCTATCAGAAGAAGGGCTGTAGGGTTGGACTGATACATGTTCATGAATCTCTTTTCCACCACTTTGCTGATTGCTATTTTCTTAACCATTTCTCCTAAATTAAAACTGCTTCTGTAAGTTGGAAGAAAATTGAGATGTCTGCATGCACTACTGAAAAAAAAATATATGTATAGTTTTTTAATGGGGTATTTTCATTCTGGTCTTTAAAAAGTGTTCTCTGGAGTGAGGGTTAAATGCATTCTTGACACTTGATTCCCTCCCTGGCTGCTGACTCATCATTTCGTTGGCACATGGCCACCGTGCAGTTGTGCAGTGTGCTTACCGAGCGCCTGCATCGCGAATGGAGCGCTGTTGGATTTTCTCATTCCTGACTGGAATGTTGGGATAGCTTTAGCCTGTCAAATCAGCCACAGTGCAGTCTGTTTCTTTCATGTTTGGTTTAGTCCTTCAGTAGGTTGTACCAGAAATGGTTTTACTTAAGATCCATAATGTGAGGAGGACCTGTGTCTGTATTCTGACCATGAGTGGAAGATGAATCCTTTCAGATATGCTGTGTGTTGAGGTATTCCTTTCCAATAGGCATCACATTAACGTCCAGGAAAATATGTCTGTCTTTTATCCTGGTACACGTAAATATGGGAAGTCCTGTTTTTCTGGTCTGATTAAGCAAGGAGCAGCGTGGTGCTAGAGGTGGTACACGCATCACGATCACTTTGCCCATTGCTCTCTTTGGGTGAGCCCGGCCGCTGCCGTAAGAAACTCCCAGGTTGCTCTATGGTTAATAAATTACATGTCATTCTAGGAGCAGCCCTGTGCCAGGGAGTGATGAAAGGTCATTAAGGCAGGAAATCCCACAGTGGGCCAGACCACTGATATTATTAAGGCTTGCTTTAAGGAATAAAGGCAGGATTAGGGTGCAGCGGTTGTTGAGTGCAGACCCACGCTGCAAGCAGTGGGAACACTGCTGCCTATCAGCACAGCTCATTTGACCTCTACCCTTGGAACAGCAGGGAATCCCTTGGCAGCTCTGCTGGCAGGAGGTTTGAGTTGTTGCTCATTATGAGCCTAATGGGCAAAAAGTGGACTTGGAGGGAATTGCTTGCCAGAGTCTGAGTCCCTGATAAACAACTCACTGCAGCTGCATACAAAATAAACAAATGAGAGGCTAAGATAATGCAGATCTTGAATAATTAGGCATGGGAAGAGTTTTATGTGAATGCCTTTATCCATTTAATGAACCTCTTGTACCAAGTGTGTACCCTGGAGCCCTGCAGGCAGCACAGGTAATCACCAACCAGAAGGCTGACAGGACAGCAGTGTGAAACTGCTGATTTTTTTTGGGAGCATTAGAAATTGTAGCACTTATTTACAGACACGTCAGAAACACATTTCTGGATGACTGTGAATAACTTACTTCTAGATGATAGTAATTAACTTAATCCTAACAAGTCAAGATTGCAGCTTAGTGTTTAAATCATTTTTCATTACAGAAACTCCACTGTTAGATGCAGCAGTTCAAAAGCCTGTTTCAGACCTGACTCTTAATTGCAAGGAGCATTTTCATTTTGATAGCTGTGCACAAACGTGTTTCCATGGCCAATGAAGTAAGTTCCACAGACATTACACGGTCATCTGGAACCCAAATCGGTAAATGGGACTGGAGAGCTGCAGAAGGTTAAAGCATAGAGTACTGTGTCTGCAGTTCACAGCTCTGGTGGTGTGACCTGGCCTTGTGGATGAAGGCTGTGCCTGTTACATGAAAATGTGCTCGAGGACAGGTGGAATTTGAATTGCTGGGATTGTTCCTGATTCATTAAATAGCGTTATTAGTTTTGTACCAAGTTTGGTAAGGATGGCATTCAGTGAATGTTGCTATGATAAAAATTGTTGTAGATTTTAAGATAATTAACACTCTCACCCCCCCACCCCAAAATGAGGGCCGTTTTCTGATAACACGTAGCTGGAGATGATGCGTGTGTTTAGATATTGCCATGCAAGTTAGAAGCAGAAGCCACGTCCTTATGCTAGGACAGACTTTCCACAAAGCCTTCATTCCTTCTTCTGCACTTCTGGTCTTTGTTTCATGCTCTGTGTTAATTCAGTTATTCCCTACTAAGTGATAAACTGTTTCTTCTTTCTGAAATGAAAATTCCCTTCTTTCTGCCATGGTACTTTTTGACAGTTTCAGGTAAAAATTACCACGTTAGGCTGGATGGGCTTAATAATTGGTATCCAGCAGAGCTCTGAAGGGTCCCATTTTTATTTTACATCTGTAATGAGCAAATTCTGTACAACTAAGAGAATAGTATAAATCAAAGTCGTGTTATAGCACAATTTAACTGGTTTGAATTCGGGAGCACGTTGTTGCTCTGTTGTTTCTTAGAAACTTGAAACTCTCTCCATGCTTTGAGAGCAGATTGTTCTAAGGGTAAGTCAGATGTGAGTTGGAAGCAGATGTGTTAGATTTTATTAATTTTTATGATATTCTGAGGGGTTCTCGTGAAAAATAAGGCACCAAGGTGGATGAATTTCACATCTTTCTCCTCCAACCACTGCCTCCTTGTTCGATCTCCGAGTCCCAGCTTACTCTGAATGCCTCCCACATTAAAATGGCAGTCTGCTTTTCACATCACCTTTCACATGCTGTTTGTTTCAGAGCCACTCCTTTTCTTTCCATATGCAGTGTTGTTGTACCTGTTACCAGAGCCCAGAATGAGAAGTGTTGTGTTTTAGATCATGTGGTATTTTGAGCTGTTTGAATGCTTTCTAGATCTTGAATTAGATTGATATCTGCCCATTCCTTTTTACATGCAATTCATAAACTGTTTGCTTAACTTTATAATGCTGCTTTGTATGTACTTTCTTATTGGGATCCTCTTTTTGTAGCTTGTTGGCACAAAAATTTACAACCACAAGCATCAGCACTTTCCTTGCTAAAACAAAACCTGAGCCCATAATGTTTGTGTAGATTTTCTTAACTTTGTGTAGATTGTTTTGATTTTAAAGAATTTACTTTCCTTTCAAAATGATTTATTTAAAAATAAATAAAATGTTGGTCATCTATGTTAAAAACAAAGCTTTATCAATGACATGTTTGGACAAGGAAGGTGTCGTACTCTGCTTGTTTTGTGCTTACAGTCCAGCATAAACTCCAGTAAATTAATTCCTGACAACAGTCATTGTCATAATTAATTGGATTTGTTGATGGTGAAGTGCGACCGAATTGCTCAATCCTCTGCTCCAAGTAGCTGACCACAGTTACTGCTACCACTGTCTGTTACGTTAGAGCTAACCAACGTAGTTGCTAGAACACTGCTGTTGTCCTTTTAATGAAGTGTATGTCACGGTTTGAAGTCTTGCTGTGTGTGTAGGTGCTTTGGATGACGCTGGCTCCCTGTAAAAAATACCCTTCCTTGCTGCCCCAGGAAGAAGTTTCTTAGTTACTCTTCCAGTCCTGGGAGATGCCTGTTGGTATCAGTGCTCAGGGCTGTGTACAGGCAAACCAAGGGGTTCTGGGCTGGATCCAGGCCTCCCTGGCTGAAAGCACTTCAAAATCCTCTTCTCTGGAGCCAAAACACTCTATGCAGCAGCTGGTTCAAAGCAGAGATGCTTTAGGTGGTGAGTACATGTCGTACAGTGGAATTGATTGTAGTGTAGGTGTCCTAGAAATGTATTTCTAAGACAGTCCTTGGTGGTTTTCTTGGGCTTCATAATGAAATGATAAATTGGATTGGTGGTGATGAATGATCGCAGAGATTGCTTATTGAAGCAGCCTCCACTGCCCTGGTTTGTGCCATTAAAAATCGTGTTAAGTTTCACTGCTCTTTTAAGCTGCCTGCTGTATGCCTGCTTTGTTTGAAAAGGCAGAAGTCCATGAATAGCTTTATCATATCTAATACCAGATCATGTACAATGTTGGTCTGTGGCTGCTGCTTACCATATTCATTCTGATTATGTAAAAATGAAAACCACTGCATTGAAATGAAGTTTCAATGTTTTTATTCAAAGCAGCTTCTCACAATGTATAAATACTGCATATTAACACACATGAAAAATACAACTTCTAAGGCACCCAGAAATGTGTCCATACACTAGTTACAGGACCATCAACAAATAAATTGTGTACAATTTGATCTAGACAGTCAATATTTGATATATCAGAAGATACAAGTCCCTCAGTACTGTACCAGTTTCAGAAAATATTTACAACACTGTGATATAGGGGTGCCTGTACCCTTATAATATTATAATATGCACTCATCATTACAAATATTAGAAACTGTTTTAGTCTGTTCCATGGCGTTCTGACAAAATAACTTAAGGGTCTAATTTGGGAAGTTCTACAATTAATTACTTGTGCAAGTTCTGAAAATAAATTTACATTGACATAATTTGTGAATTTTTGGTTCTTTGCTTCATCTCAGAGGTTTGGTAATAAGCCTTACCAATAGACATGCCATCCTAGCTGAACATCACTCCTGTCCCAATCCTCAGTGGACACGTCTTTTCCCCTTACGTTTGACACAGGTGAGAATGCAGTGTTTGTAGCAGAAAGAGACTCTTTGATCTTCGGTACAAATGTCATGCGAGTTCACTGGCTGCGGAACTAACGCTTCATTAGAATAATGCAGTTCTTTGGTCCTTTGTTTTTATGGAAGGCATAATATTTTCTTTCCCTAAAAATCGAAGTCCTGTCTGTCTGTGAGCAAGCAAGCTAGTGAATGACTTTCAGTGTAGTATTTAAAGTAGCAGTAAAGAGATTTAATATGGCTTAAAACATATGGTTAATTGGGCGGACACAGATAACACATCTAGGATACCGAGTACCCAAATGTACTACGATTAAGATTGTCTATAAGTCTCTTATGTAAACTTCTTTAGTGTCTCCTAAAGAGTGGTGGCTTTAGCCAGATTTGACTTTTATAGACCCAGCCACACAAAGCCTGAGATTAAACTACTGTGGTTGGGAGCACAAATGCACAGTTTAAATATAACAAAGCCCATGCTGACAACTCCAAGTATGTTGTTTGAAGGAAACAACCCGTATTATCCTTTTCACAAGAAAAACTTAAGGCCCTGTACTCTGATTTGCTAACTTTCTTACAGCAATTAGTTGGGGAAGTCCTTAGTACTACATAAGCCATTATGTAGCTTTAAAGATTTCTTGTACCTAATGGTAAGGCTTATTCACAAATGCAATACATTTATAAATTACATTTAAAACTTTAAAGGCTGGCAAAATAATTAAAAAAATAACAAAATAAAACAAAACAAACCCCAAACAAAATTGTTTGTTTATCCCTAACATTAAAAGAGCCTTTTTTTTTTTCTAATTAAAAACTATTGGCACAAAACCATTTTATATTATAGATTAAAAGAACAGTTAATAGTAGTGAAAAAGATTGCCTAAAACGCATACCCTAACCTACCACAGAAATATAAAAGTTTATATTCTGAAAATATATATACTGTATTAAAGTTTGTAAGCTTATTCATTTAAACAGAAATGTACTGAAATAGTAAACAGAGCAACACTTATCTACAGCAAAAATATACATGCAGGACAACACAAAATAAATTGCTTACCTTTAATATCTACAAATGCAAAACTGTAGATTTTTAAAGATTGTACAAAACAATTTACACGAGAATAAAATAACATACTTAACAACAAATTGCATTTATCATCTTAAATACTGTGAATATTAGTGAAGGTCCCCAGACTAATATGTACAGTACATCGAAATGTCTGGGTACCTCGTAAGGACAGAGCAAATCGATTCTGATCTTTAAATACTGGAAAAGAGGCTTCAGACATTATTATTACTCTTTTCTGGAAGGGAAAATAGATTTCATGAAAACTAGACTGTAGCTGTATAGATATGAATAATCAAAAATGTTAACTATGGTTAGCACTTGCTTTAATGGAAAAATAATTATAGAAAATGTATTTCAACTATTCCTTTGTCATAAAAAAGGTAAGCTACGGATATTTGAAAAATCAGATGAAATGATGCAGTTTAAAGGTCTAACAGCTTATCATTCTTCTTCGTTTGAAAATCTCATATAGAAAGCACACCTTCACATTGCTGAGCAGTTTCTCTTTACTTATCTACAAAACCCAAGCACAGTGTCGAAATAAACTTCCTAATATCTTATTAACACGTGACGAGGAGTTATGGCTCTCTGGACGGGAGTAAAGGAAACAAAGGAAATTGAGGAATCGTGGTATTTTCATTGCTTGTAGAAGTTTTGTTATTTTGTTACGATTCTGTGGTCATCTGCTGGAGGCCTGATTGTGCAAACACTTGTGTGTGCGAGTGGTTCTCACTTGGTAACCCCTCATCTGGTGCAGCGCGGGTGACTCCGTGCACACACTGCACAGCAGGAGTTGTTGGTTTTGAGAGCATTTCTTGAAAGATGAAAGCAGGTTTATTATAAGCCAGGCCTCGTCTTTTTAATGAAGAATTTCCACGAGAACATCTGCCTTTAGGGTGATCATTTCCTTAAAATTCAGTGGTGCAATTAGGCCATAGAAACAGTGCTTCTAATTAGCTGTGGAACAGGAAATGTTATAAAAATGTGTTGAAGGTTTATTGTAATCACCTGTTAGATAATTTTGCAAAGGCTTTGTCGAAGCTCTTTGTGGAAGGGCTGTAGGGAGGCAAGCTCCCAGCCTTGTTTGCAGAGATTTAAGCCATGAGCTCAAGGATGGAGAGCAAGTGCACAAACTGCAAAACAAAAAAATGTGCAAAGCTTCTGCTTCAGGAGGCGGTAGTTTAGGCGTGCTAAAATGGCAGCTGGAGTCACAGAGCATGCTTGAGTCATTTCCATATTAATTGCCTTACTAGCAAGAAATAAACGAGATCGATCCAGTGTTCAGAAGTCAGTCAGTGTCACTGAAAAGTACTAGGATCACATTCTGAAATAGCAGGTTGGACTTCAGTCGTTACGTGTGGGCTCTGTATGGATAGCCGTACATTCTGGGGGCCAGATGGTGGGGGGGCCAGATGTGGAGGGCCGGGAAAAGCAACCCGAAACTTCTCCCTCCGCTTAGCTCAATGCCTAGCACCTTGTATAAACTGTTGGCCCACACCCAAAGGCCTCCAGAGCAGAAATTATCTCACACCTGAGGAATCAGGCAACTAGACTAAGGCTCGTAAGGGTTTGCTTCTAGACTTCAGACCAAAAAGGGATGTTTAAACCTGAAGAACAGTAAGGTGCCACGGAACGGCACCGCTCACCCTGTCACTCACATCCGGCTAACAGGACTGTCGTAAACTTAAATAAAGCTTCTTGTTGGCAAGCCCTTCAGTGCTCCTCCAGAAGGCAGGAAGTGAAGAGGGACTTAGGGGGAATCTCACTAGTTCAGAATCCACTTTTTTTCCCTCAACCGTGGCGAATGAATGCGTTTCATACATTTTTATACGATTTTACATGTACAGGAGCGTGTACGTGGCTGTTTTTTTTTGTGCCCACAGCATTCTGTGTGTTTTCTGTATATTCTTTGTTTTTCTACACATGTTGCTGCTCAAAGTGTGTTTGCATTCCCACGTGATGCCGTTAATTCAGTCAAGGGAAGTATGAAAATAAGATCTGTGATCAATAAACAGCTGAATATGAACACAAAATAAATAAGTTAAATAAATTCAACAAAGAAAAAAATCCTAGTAGTTTTGGTAAAACTAACTTTACATATTATACATATAAATTACCAGATTTTTCCATTACACTGTTAGAACTTAGCAAAAAAAAAAAAAAAAATCAAACCATTTCAAAAGTACGGTGTTTGGGTCTACAAAATATTGCGCCGACCCGGTTCTTAGATTGAGCCCTCTGTGTCCAATGCGTTGCAACAGCAGGAATAAGTTAAGGAGGACAGGCAAAAAAGATCCTTACAGATGGTGTGCCTTAGTGGGCCTCAGTGGTGCTTCTCAGCACATGGAATGTATGTTTCTGTCTGGATGAGCACGTGAAGGATGCAGCCCTCTGTAGAATATGTGCACTGAAGAAGCCTGCCTACATCTCGCTTACACGAAATCAAACCGGCTACAAGCAGCGTGTAGCTCACAAGGAAATCGACACAACCATATGCAGTAGGACACACTGTCACAAACTCCTCAATGACGCACTGCCTCTGCTTTTCAAACACAGGTAACGTTGCACTCTGTTCACAACTGGAGCGTTTACTGTTTAAGTTAGGGCAAGACATCAGACTTCGTAAATCTTGTCTTGCAAGTAGCTGAATAACGAATCCAGTCCTTTGGAAGAACTCCACAGCTGTTTCAACATCTGACACTCTTTCTCATTCACATCTTCAAGTCCGGATTTCAGGAAGCTCCGCATGAGGCATTTGGACTCTTCCAATACCTAAAGCCAAAATATCACTCAGTATTTATTACGAATCGGATAGAGTTATTATGGATGATGGTGTAAACAGCATTTTTTTTTTAACTGTGGACACCATTGTACAACCTAAATAACTCATTTGGGCACAGAAATCAGAGCTGATTTACAGCCCTATCTCCAGTCGCTAATAGTGTCTCTAAGAATTAAGGACTTCTGAGGTTAATGCCAGTGTTTTTAGTGGGAATGAGGGATTCTGAAGTACCTTAGTTTATTGAAGGTCTGCCATGAAGTATTACCAGAAGGAGCCGAACGCCTTCCTTTGGAAATGCGACCCCTTGAAATTAAGGCGTTTTCTGTAAAATAATCTTTAAGGTTATAGAGGCTGGAAACCCAAATATGGATGTGCAACTTAAACAGCTGGTCCCCATGCATAATTTCATTATCAGAAGAGAAATGGACAGAAATGGACCTCTATTGCACATACTTTAAAGTTTATTTTCTTCAAAGCTTATAGAAGTGAAAAAGCACTCCCTGACTGTGTCCTGGAGGTAAATTAGCATAATATAAGCAGTCGTAGGAAATAATATTCCTATAATTCAATGAAATGGCACTAATTGCAAACAGTGGGCCCTGCACATATTTTCTCTGTGAACAAGTATCCACAGCAAATTTGGATGAGCTCATCACGTCCACTATTTCTTTGACTTCAGCCCGATTTGCATTGGGGATCTCAGAGAATGCATCTGTTCTTTGACAGTTTTAACTCTCATCCTTGTCCACAGATTCACTTCAGCCTTTCCAGCAGGACTCAGGTGAGGATTTTATTGACAACCAGTAATGGTGAAGGAAGGAAAATTTCACAGAAAGGCCCAGAGGTTTTCTCAACTCATAATACAGTTACATCAGCTTGATCAAATAAGCTTATGCTGCATTTCCAGGGTTTCATTCTGAATGACTTTGGTGAGATCTAATCTGTGCTTCATTTAATTAAAGATCTCCTGCATCTCTATCTTCTCTTTTACAACAGATCATTTATATGGAACAGAGGGATATTAAGACAGATTTAGGCACAGGAAGCACTAAAAGAAACTGCAGCAATGTGCATCCAGTTAGTAGAGCTTTGCTGCAGCCTGTATCACCTTGCCATGATACTCTGTGACCAGACTGAGGTCAAATCCCTCTGTCTGAACCTCCTTCACTGTAAATTTTCGCTGGCACCATGCTGCCCTCCTGGTGCACTGTGCAGGACGTTTTGCAAAATCAGGAGCTATGCAGGTGCAGAAAAGAAGGCAGAGTCAGCTGAAACATAGTAGGCCAGGACAATGCAAAAGGCAAATTTATTTTCTTACTGGCACAGCAGGGATTTCCTAGTGTAGATGCACAGCTTCAGACTGTTCTGCCTTCATGAAAGAAACCTTTGCTAAAATTCCTTTTTAAAATCTGTGGCATGGTGGTTCTAGTCATAGACTGAATGTGGAGATGGGAGAGTGGAACAACCCTCCGTGCTCTGAAAAATGAAACTCCAGGAGTTTGCTGATCCCTATCCAGATTTTGTATTGCTAGCCCTGTTCCGCAGGCACGGCTGTGGAAGCTGAGGACCTGCCTTCTGACGTGATGAGCCTCAGGAGCACACCTTACCTCTGCAAAGTGCCATTCAGTCACAAAGCAGTGTGATTCCTTACCACTGCACTGCAGGACGCCATTTCCTTCACTCGGAGCATCACTTCTTGGCTAAATGTTGTTGGCCAAAATACTTGTGACACCAGTCCTCTGCTGCAGGCTTCTTGTGCTGTCAGCTTTCTCCCACAGAACAACATCTCGTTTGCCTGTGAAACGAAAAGATCACTTGTGATCTTGGGTCATAATTCTCCCGATTTTTTTTTCCCCTCATACTTGCCTGCTATTTTCAAAAATCAATTTACAAGTGGTCCACTGTATCTTTCCATATTGCAAAATACTTTACGAGGAGTTTTGGTAGCTATTTAAGGATTGTGCAGTTGGCCAGAGCACAGCAAGGGTTTCACTTAAGAGAAATGTGCTGGCACACGTGGTGCGTCTGTATTGCTGATTTTACAAGAGCAACTGTCAGTAATGTGATGTTATTGTGCCAAGAGAATAAAATACTTTGTGGAGCAAATTCTGCTTTGTTATCCTGCTAAAAACAAAGCAACTTTATGGGAATTACTGTGGATCACCTTTAGAGTAGCAGAGAACAGCATCTAGCTGTGTTATTGCACTGTCCTAACACAACACAACACAACACAGCACAGCAGAGCACAACACAACACAGACAAGAACTCTGCAACATCATTCTGCTGAAGCATTTCTTCTCTTTTCTACCATGATCTTGAAAATCTTTTCTTTTCCCACCTATGTAAGTCTTTCCTGAATACAGCAGGTAGAGTTTATTGAATTCAGAGAAATAGGACATTGCTGGAATTAGATGAACTTTCTGTGGATTACATTTCCTCTTATGACAGTTCAGAGAAAGTTGTTTTCTGGTTTACATTTTATAGAGAGAAAGAAGAGCATGAGTTGAACAAAGGTTCTTCAGCAATATGAAGTGGAAAACCTTACCAGTGCAACACCCAGAATTTGTGGGAATGTGTATGATGAGCAGCCAGCTGGAGTGAGTCGGATTGTTGCATATGGTGTCTGAAACCATGCCTTCTCACTTGCCCAAACGATATCACATAGTGGTAAAATTGAAGCTCCTAACCCAAGAGCAGGGCCGTTGATAGCAACCACAATTGGCTTCTTAAATTGAATAAAAGCTTTTACAAAATCCCTAAAATAAAAAATAAAAGAAAGATCTTGAATACAGAAGCACCACTTAGAAAAAAATCCCGAACTTAAAAGTATTTAATCTGAAAACAAATCAGAACCACTGGTGAACTCAATAAATGCCATGGCCCAGTTTTATGAGATCAGAATTGAAAGAAATTTTCTACTTCACGCACACAAATTTTCTCTTCTATTTAATTATTTAATCTTTCATAGTTCCTAGGATGTTAATAAGTTTTGCGTGTGTTGTATATGAACTGAATAACTGGAATGCAGTGACTATGATACTTTTTGCAGAGTGGTTTGGTTAGGATTAGTTTTACTTGTGGACCAGTGACTCACTTGTTGGTACACATCTTGCTTCTCAGTTTGCTCCAGAATGGTTAGTATGGATTCTGATGTTCTGGTTTGGCTAACTTGATGTATGTAATATAGTATGAAAGACAGGAGGCTTATAGGTATATTGTTGGGTATTTATGTTTTCAGATGTTTTCTTAAGATCGTATGTGAAAGGTTTCTGCAGGTCCCATCAGTGGGCTGGGAGACAGTGACTGTTCATGGCACAACAGCTGGAAGAACAACATCCACAAAGGGGAATCAGAGAGAAATAGAAACGTTGGGGCAGGAAAAGAGTAAGGCTGGTGATCCGTTGGGTCTTTGTTGCAAACAATATAGGCAAAGATGTAACAAATAGCTACCTATTGCCCACCTGCAACTGAAAGTGTGAGGCAATGGGGTCCAACGGGGAAGTAGATGTAGTTTGATTCAACTGGGAAATGAACTGGAACATGTTAAATTCTATGCGATGAGGAGATATTTTAAATAAGTCACCTTTCAAGAACTGTAGAAACACATCTGTTGAATGGAATAGCCTATACACTGTTTAGGAAAAAAAATGAGTGTAATTGTAGGTAGATTATGGACTCGATCAGCCTGTGTACAGCAATTTATGAAGGCAAATCAGATGCTCAATTACTTGAGGAAAGAGACATAAATAAATGAAGTTCAAAACAAGAGCGGTGATTCTGTTCCAGGCCTGGGTATTTATTAGATCCATAGTGCATTATTGCTGACTGATTTTAGGAAAGAACATTGCATTTTGTCAGACGTGCCTTTCAGGGAGTTGCAGCTCTCTCACTGAGGTCACGAAGACCTAGGCTTGTACATCTGAGAACAGGAGGTGTGCCTTCCAGGTTAGAGCCCTGATTTGGCAAACAGTGAAAAACATGCTGAAGGTAAGTACTTTGTCAGAGTGGAGTGCAAGGACATTGGCTGTATTTTAAATGAAAACAATGAGTCTGAAATCACTCAGTACTGTGCTGTTCAAAGAATGAGTTCTGTTTTCCAGGGTGTCCAGTGAGGAATTGTTTTTTGACTATGAGAAAACAGAAAGGCATGGGAATAAAACAGAAGATCAGAAGAAAGACAAATAGAGTGAAATAGGGAACACTGTATTTATGTGTTCAAAATAATTTCATTCAAGAGGATGGCAGAGCTAAGGAGAGTTGTGGTTCATTTTTGTTTGCAGAAACAATGCTGTTCATCACTGCTTGTTTATGGGCTTGTTTATGCTTGGGTAATGACTGTAGGTCGCTGCACCTGATTAATTCCAGAATTCTATAAAACTCTGTAGTAAACTTTGCAAATAGGACTGAGGACACTTGGGAAACAGGGATGTGACGACAGGCAAAAATAAACAGTGTGGATAAGTAATGGCAGCCGATCTGAGGACCACATGGAAGCAGCAGAAAACTTGTGGAAAAAAGCAAGAGGCGTGAGGGATAAGTGGGACCTGAAAGGGAATATGGAAGAACAGTCGGTAGTGTGGGGAGGAAATGGTAGATGATGGGTAGCAGAAACAAAGCAGAATGCATTCGTGAAGGGAAAGGAACGAAGGAAATGTGAAATCTTCACATAAGTGAGCAGGGAAGGAAGGATTGGAGATGGGAAAAAAGTGGAACAGAACACTGAGAAGGCATTGAGCCACCATCACACCAGAGGCTGAGCAACAGCATGGCGCAACAGGAGGGATGGAGTGGAAGACTAAAATATCGACAGGGGGAACAAATGCCTGAATTTGGTCTACAGAAGCTGCAATGTCCAATGCTCCATTTATCTGTGCTCCCTGTTTAGCATGCTGCATGTTTCAGTGAGTTCTCTGTACCCAGAACCTGGTGTGTTCCCATGTCTCCAAACCTCATATTCACACATGTAGTTGCAGGGCTGGAAGATCCTTCTTTCAATTCAAGGCAGTCATGAAAAGAACTAGAAGTTGTAATTCTTGTTTGACAGCAGAAGCTAAGTTTGAACACAGGAATAAGCATCACATACAGAAGGTTTGTGCTTTTGCTAGAGGAGATCTGGAAAGCAGACCATCAAGCACAGTCTGGGATACTTTGGTGTTGTTGCAGTGCTGCAGTTAGAACTCATAGGGACATCAAAGGCTGTAAAGAAGTTGGGCAAGTAAAGTCATTCTTCCTTTTCTTCTGACTGCACACAGAACTTTGTGTGTCGGATCACACAGTGATGGCTGACTGGTGGTGCAACGAGGGAGGCTGCTGCTGGAAATGCCTTCCTGCAAGTCTTGTGGGTGCAGAGCTCTCTGGCCATGCACGCATGTTGCAGCGCAGTCCGTCTGTCTGCCTTGCCCCTGCTTCAGGTGTGCAGTGCCAACCACGCCTGGCTGGTGCAGTGTGCAGAGAAGCTGACATCGTGAGCTGAAAGCTCAAAGGCAACGGATGAGGACAGGGCCCAAACAAATCACTCGTGTGAGATGTGGGTATTTAAACTTTAGTTTTAACTTGTGATCAGTACATGAGATCTGTAGTTTAGCAAGTGGAAACACACGGTAATGAAGATTTTGATTTTGCTAGAAGCGTACTGGTCTAATTTGATGTAGAGCAGTGGAGGAAGAGATGCATTAATGTGTCTGAGGACATCCTAACCACTGAGAAAGCAAAGTGTACATTTGTACTCTTCTGATTATGGTATATTTTCCATGAGTTCAGTCCTTTGTTCGTAGAAAGCACAGAATGCTGAATGGAAAAAAGTAGTGCATTGTTTCCAGAGGTACAATAAAAATCTGTTTCCAGTGGGCCCAAAGCTGACATTCTCGATGAGGAGAGGGCACTGTAAAATAGTTCCAGAGCCCAAGGGTGAGCCCAAGCGTAGAAAACAGCTTTGTAGTTTGGATTACAGTCATTAAGATGCAGATCTGGTAGTATGCCTGTATATTAAATGTGTACAGATAAATGTGTATGTATATAACAATACCTATCTATACAATATTTGCATTAATAAGATTAAATTTGTATATTTTCAGGGAGTGTGTGTCTGCATTACCAAACAAGAAGAGCAATTTTCTTTCCTCCCATTGTTTTTTTTTTTCTTTTGCTTCTGCATTTTCAGAAATCCCTCACACTTAAAAAAATCCCTTCAGAGAGATTTTCTTGCTCAGATATCACCGAGTGATATTCAGGCATAGCTAGAGTCTTAAAAGCTGGTTGTGGCTTATTATATTTTAAGGAGTACATTTTAATTCTTTCAAAACGTTTGCTACTTTGAGAATTTCAGCAGTATTAAACTGAGAATCCAGACTGATGTGCGTTAGTTGTGAACCAAGAGAGTTGGCAGTTAACACGTCATGTAACAGCTGTGCTTCAGCTTGTGTTATGCATCCAAAATACAGGTCTGTTGTAAATGAAACTCCTAAGAATTCCTTCATAGAATTGTAGGAATCTGCAGCTTAAAATCATGAAGCTCTCAGAATAACAGTATTTCTAGGGAGTGAAAAATAAAAGGACCAAACCCTCCGCTGGTATGGACTGGTGGAACACCACCGACTTCAGGGGAGCAATGTGGATTTATACTGGAGGATCTGCCAACTATGTATGAAGTATGCCTTGTGGGTAATGTAAATCATAGGTGATGTGTTGTGCAGATTGATCTGTAGACTGCATGTCATAAAGTCCCAGTTTCTATTGAGGTAATGTGATATGCGTATAAGGAAAGTCACACTTTAGTTATGAAAATAAAACTACATTTGCATATATATTAAGTAATTTAAGGAAAAGAATGGAGACCCTTCTAATAAGGTTCAGAAATACAGTGGAAGACTGTTGTTTCAACAGAACATGACTTAGCCATGGATTCCCATTTGTACTGAAATTCATTTAAATGATGAACATCAAACAAATAAAATATCTGCCTTTCAGGAACCACTTTACAAAATGAAGCAATAGTTAATTTGGAAAAACAACAACAAAGTTGTATATAAGTTTGGAGGATTAATTTGAAGTATTAAGTACAGAGAAGTGGAATAAAATAAATCCCTATGGATAGTTAGCACTGGAATAAATGTGCTTTCTTTTGTAATAAGGAAAGGTCCAAGGTTTTCACTAAACAAATTTGCAGGACTATAATTAGAATGCAATCAACACTTAAATATACAACATTTTTGGACCTGATAAATATCTTTATAATCACACACTGCATTTCATAATTTAGAGATCATAGGTAAGCTTGGGTCACCTTATAGCTTCTGCAATCCTAGTGCTTTCCTTTCTTCTGTCATTGGATAACCTGCCAATTAAATATGAGTAATCTAGGCCACTACAGAATACACTTCCCACTGCGCTGAGAAGTAAGAGTTTACTGTCATCAGCTGATGCATTGCACAATGCTCTCCGAACTTCCTTCATGATCTGTGGATAAAGAAAAGTAAACAATTCGACATGCATGCCGTTGCAATATCATTTCCCTAGTTTTACAAACCTTATTGATCTTGAGAGACTTAAATTTTGGGCACTATTAATATTTACATCAACTATATATATATTTGCATCATTTTAATAGAATGATAACACTGAGAGTTTACAGAATATTTTGTCTTTGGAAGTGCTTTGTAGATGCTTACTAATTCAAAGAGCTTTTAGGATTTGGCTTGTTCTGTGGGAAATTCTAGCTAGCTTACGGTATTTGCAATTTAATAATTTCAAATATGACTTTTTTTGTTTTCATAGTTTATATTCAGTGAACATCACTATATCCTCTGTAACACGATTACCACAGCAATAGCCTATAAACCTCACCCAGTTGTAAACAAGATCTGCAAACCCGATTTTTTCAGTTCTTCAACTGCTTTGGTTTATATGGCATGAATCAGAGCAAGGCAGGACAAGAGGACATCATATACATTGACATGACAGGTATATTATTCATTTTTCTGTGGTCAGTGATACTGTTATAGTCTACAAAGTCAAAGCAAAAAAGCCACTGGGGAGAGACACATTTTTACACTGATTTAGAACGGGATCGAGCTATTAATCGCATCATAAATCGAGCTAATCAAAGTCTGTACAGAACTGAGCTGCAGTTATTGTAAGGAAATAGCCCTTCGTCTGAGTACAACTGCTTTCCTAGTGATTTTTAAAAGGAAATATTATTTCATGAAATTCTGGTGGCAACTCCTTGTGAGGATTCAGCACAGTTTGGAAGCTGTGATCGATTTAAGCAATCTGAGCTGCCCCTCTGCAGCGAGCTGCTCTTCACACTTGAGTAGGGCCATCACTGCACCTGGTGTGACGCGTCCTGCCCTCGCACATACTCGTGTCTCAAAGTACTTCCTTTACACAGGACCCCGCTGAGTCAATCTTTCTTTCTCATCTGTGCTGAAAGTTAATTTTGGTAAAAGGCAGCAAAATGTGGTTGGGGATCAAATATGGTTTCTGCGTAAGAGAAAAATACGACTGCTCGCTCGTAATTATTTCTGTTCACTGCTTTCTGTTTCCAAAAAGTTCTTAGCTCTCTCAAGTGCCATATTTAAGATATGTCCCTAAACCCAGAAGAGAAGTTCAGGGCAGACCCTCCTGCTCCTCTCTACAACTCCCTCAAGGAGGTTGTAGCAGGGCAGGCATTGGCCTCTTCTCTCAAATAACAACCATAGCATGAGAGGGAATGGCTTGAAGTTGTGCCAGGGGAGACTCAGGTTGGGTATTAGGAAACATTTCTTCTCAGACAGAGCAGTGATGCAGTGGCACAGCTGCCCAGGGAGGTGGGGGAGTCATTCACCACCCATGGAGGCGTTCAGGGAACGTGGAGATGTGGCTCTGAGGGATGTAGTCAGATGGGATGGGTTGACAGTTGGACTTCATGATCTTAGTGGTCTTTTCCAACCTTAATGAATACATGATTCTACGATTCTATGATAACTAGGTAGGCTTCTGTAAGGATTCTTGTGGCTTCTGAGAGCAGTTTTGAGAGTACAGTGCTACCTGGCTGTTTTCCATCTGTCTGCATAAACCCCTGCTTGTAACTGGCTGCTGGGTCTGGCGCATGAGAGAGCAGGTGGTGGACTTCTCCTTGCTTTGGTTTACAGATGCACTTCTGAACTTCTGTACTGACAAATATGTGACAATGTGTGGAACTGAAGCAATGGGAAGTGGATTTGAAACTCTTGTGCAGGTACAAAAATGCCATTAGGAATGTTACAAGCACTGCTTATTCTCAGAATCTCAGAGGATGTCTCAGCCCCCTCTTGGTAGAAACAGAGGCGCAACTGCACATTCTGTAAAGAGGAAACGAAGGCAAAAAAAAAGAAACAACAAAAATCCTCTGTCCAAAATTGAAAAAGAAACTTGAGAAGGTGGTGAATGTTAGATTTAAAAAAAAGATTTTTCTAGTTACATGTGAATGCAAGATCACCTTAGTTTATTTTAAATGTCCTCAAGATCTGCTCTTTCTTAGGGAAGATGTATAAATAATGTCAGACAGTAACAGTCAAACATTTTTATATTTTATATATATTTATATATATTTTATATTTTTATATACAATGGGGAGTTTGCTTTAAATGTGATGCCACGAAATGGTACTTCATTCAGCAACTTTCTCTTCTGTGCCCCTTCTCCCAAGGACATCTGCTTATGTACCATCTCTTTGATGATACCATTGCTGTCCTTCAAGCACATAATTACCTTGACAAGCTTCTCTTTTTTACCTTTCCCCTCATTGATTTGGATGGCAAAAGCCATCTAAAAGTTCACCCATCAGCATTAGGAGCAGAGGCTATACAGCTGGTAGGAAGAGACAATATTCTGCTAGTGCTGTTTTTTCAGTGTTTTGGAGAATGATATTAAAGGTCCATCATTAGGAATTGATTTCCGTGCTATAGTGGAAAATGGGAAGGCTTTGATAGTATTCTGAGTTGTGCTGCTGAGCAGGATTGGAAATTTATTTCCACTGCTCCACTACTTTCTAGAAATAGAAAATAGCGTGAGAAAACAGAAAAAATGAATGTAGCAGTATTTTAGATCTCCAAAAGTTTTGGAGAGGGAGGACTGGGACAAATGTCTGTGAGCTTGTTAACTTCATCATTAAATTCAGAAGCTCACTGAAATACAGTAATCCCTTTTTCCTTTGCCTGTGCAGACCAAAGCTCACCTGGTTATCTTGTCACTCCACCTATTTACATCCACCCTGCTGTCCGCTGTGGCTCCAAATGCCTTCAGCATTGCTGCTCAGTAGTGAATGCACAGATATTTCCCTACAGGTGTTTAAATGATTACAGTAAAGCTACTAACAATAAAATAAGATAAAAGAGAGAGTTTGGCTTTAGGGTTACAGAACCATGTACTAAACTGCATTATTCAGTACATAACTTTGGCTCAGAACCTGCTGTCTGTGTTTAAGTAGAATTTCCATGTAACGCAGCAAGGAATTCAGCTCACACATACAGAGATTCTATGTGGTTTTGGTCACATTTATCAGATTCCATGCTTTTGGTTCTTAAATCTTCCATCATTTTGGTGTAACTATGGGATTTGTCCCACTTGCTTTTACTTTCAGTAGTAGACTAAAATGACTATTAGCAGGGCTCCACAGCAGTACTCTTGAGTATTTAAAATTATTAGTGTGAACGTGATTATCAATAATTACATTATTTTATTTATATTAATATTATGAGTAAGCAATAATTATAATTATTTATATTAATTATTTAAATGATTCCACTTCTTTTACATCAGTATGCTAATAATTCTTAATATAAATCATAAATTATTCTCAAGCTTCTTTTAATTAGCTTTTTTAATGGCCTTTTAGGCAGTTCTCAGTTGTGGGGCAGTTTTTTTTTTGCATTTATTTTACGAACATTTCTGAAGCAGCATTTAGAAAACAATGCGGGCCAAAATCTATCAAGTTCCAAATTCAGAGCAGCCCTAATGCTTCACTTACTGTTTTATTGGAGCCCAAGTATACAATAAAATTATCACTACCTTAAAAGCTGCTTGTTTTTTAATCCCGTCAAGAAAACAAGTTGTTAGTTCTTTAATAGGACCTCGTACTGCAGAATAAACATGAAATGTTTAAAGATTTCATTAAACTTCCCAAAGCTGATTTCAATGCCTTTCCCAGGACAGAGGAAGTTTTAAAAGGTGTTTGGTGCCCTTTCCTTTCAATATTGCTCACATTCCAGGGAAATCAGGAAGCTGGGAACTTATCGCCTTCATTACACAAAGTATCTTGAACAGAAGTCTCTTGTTCGTAAAAACAGGAGTGCAGGTTTAAAAGGTTAACTTCTCTGAATCGCTCAAGATTTACTACTGATTTCTTTAAAGGCAAATACTTTGTAAATACTGCAGTAAAGCAAAATTTTAAAGCCATTCAGTTGTGTTAGAGCTTCCACCATTGTGCCTTTTTACATATGGACACCTTTTGTTACCGACTGCCTCTTTATGCAAACAGATCCGAGTCTGTTCTGTTTGACAGACAGGAGCTATGAACCTGCAAGAGCAGCACTGGGAGTAAGGACTGGCCAGTGAAATAATCTCTCTCTGTATGAGAGCAAAAATGCAGAAAACAGCCACGTTTTATCTTTTTTCTTAAGTTGTAGGTAAGAAGTGAAGGCAAGCCAGTGCTCCAAAATGCACCTGGTAGAACTTTCAGCCCTTTAACTCTTATGGCTAGAAACTTGAAACCTGACTGTTCTATGTGAAGTGGTACTTGCATCAGTCTTGGATACAAACATTAGCTGCTAGGGCTGTTTTGATTCTCATTCAGTGGAGTGTTAACTCTATATTTAATACTATAAGGTAAAAAAATAGTGGGTGGATCCATTTAATATTAAGTTTGAAACAGAACTTGGATCCTCGCGACGCGCTGCGTTACAGCAGCGCCGACATCAGTGGAGAATGTACTTCAGAAGCAGCAAAAGACCTCTGAGAGAAAATCTGCTAAAATGTGCGACTGGAAACTGTAATGATGGAATGGTTTGTGTATCTCTTTTCGAAAGGAATGTTAAAAGTAGCAAGCTTAAGCCATTGCAATAGAAAAAGAAGCCATACCATTCTGGGACACCGGCCTGAAAGTTTTATGAGGTCTTAAAATGTAAGAAAGGATTTCGACAGGCCCTGGACATTTGGTAGAAAAATCTCAAATCCTGTAATGGCACTGAGCCAACTTCAGTGGGTGCAAATAGAGCTGGAAGAGCATCGGCCCGTTTTGTGCTGCAGTCACCTGCACAAACCCACAGGTGTGCTGTGGTTACCAAAATGTACGATGAAAAGGCAGGCAGCCTTTTCTAAGCTGAGTTTGATTTTGTAGCATGAATAGGCTTCATGCCCATAAGTGCAAGTGATAAATTCATTGTGTAGGAAAAGATCTGATTTTGAGTCAGCTTTGACATGCAAACGCTGTGCCATAATTCTAAATATGTTAGTTGTTTTAATTACATTGGCATAAATGCTAGAGGGGATGAACAAAACTATTAGATTTCATGGGTAGATTTCAGTAAAACACAAAGGGAAGCAGGGGTGTTCAAGAGGTAGAGTGATTTTGTATGAGGTTAATTTTATAATGACTGTGGGCAGTGCACACCTTTTTGTTTCCTGCCGTGGATGGCTGTGAACTGCCAGCCTATGATGTTAACCACACCAAGGAAACCCACTCTCAGTAAATTAACCATTTTGGATTTGGCAAACGTCATTTACTGAGCATGTGATCAAACTTAAAGTTAGCGTTTCTTTTGGCAAAATGGAACACTTGCTTACATTTGTGGGGGTTCCGTGTTTGCGCCTTTTTATTACTCAGGGTTCACCAGAGGTGTCACAACTAAAACTGTTCTTAACTTCCTTGAACTACTCTGTCAGTTTGCCTTAGCTGTGGCTGTGGGCGACAATCCGCAGGACAAGGCACTCAACATGTTCCTCCTGTCAGTGTCTCGATTTTTGTGCTGCAATCGCCAACACTGGAGGTGCTGGGTTTCATGGTGTGAGTGCTCAGGGGCTGCTCTCTGGATGGAGGCCAAAGGAGCAGTCTCGTGTTTGCCAGCAATTGGCCGTCAGAGGGGAACAACTTCCAGTTGCTCTCAGCCTGGATGGGTTTTAAACAGACAATCTAAATGTGGAGAGCTCATTAGCTTGATTAATTCCCGACCATCCAGCTTCTGGTCAGCAATGCAGCTTTCTGAAATGTGTTTTCTCATTTTCAAATGAACTTCCATAAAGATTCTAGAGATGGTCAAATGTGGTGACACAAGAAGAGGGCTATTACATGCTAATCATTTCTGCTCATGCAGAGGTGGGCATATTGCATGCTGTCAAAGAATGAAATGGATTGGTTTGGCAGACCTGAAGAGCTTCAGCTCATTCACTGGTTAGTGCATCTGAACACTGCTGATGTGGAACTGCACAACAGCAATGAGAAGATATGTCTGCTCAGCCTGAGAAGAGCAAGCCCTTGATTTCGTGCTTTTTTTCAGGCCCTTGGGCTCTTTCTTTAAATTACCTGCAGTGTTTATTAGTGGCAATTAATACATGGATGGAATGATGGATTTGATGCAATCATCTAATGTGTTTTAAGGAGCTAGTATTAAAAGCAGGTATTTGGTGTTCTGGGTTAATTACTGAAATAGTCTTTTTTAAACATCAAATAGTTTAAAACCTAGGAGTGATAAATGTAGGTACTGACAGTTTAAAACAAGTTCTGTGTATTAATGCCCATGTGTTTGTGTGCATCTGGGAAGGTGGAGTCAAATTAGAGCCCATCATGCCTGCCAGTGGTTTCATCTGAAGCTCACTGTAAACAAATTCATTTAAAATTTACTCAGTTTCTTACTGAATAAAATAATTCCTGGAAGTTGCAGCCTATGTTTGCATCAAATGGTGCTCACACAGATAGCCTTAGTGTGAAGTTGCTGCCCTGGGATGTCTGGTAGGCAGAAAAGGGCAGCCTGCAGAATGCTTTGACAGCCAAACTGGTGACGGGAGGCAGCTCCTACAGCTTCTTCTTGGATATATGGCAACTCTTTTCCATCAGGCCATTACTGCCTTCGTGGAACAGGATCAAGCATGTTGTCTGCTCTCCAAGACATGCATCCTGGTGCAGGCATTTCTTTACATTCCTTTTGCTCTGACATAGAAAGTGAATACCACAGCATTGCTGAGATTATGAGGAATGGAGGGAATAGCTCCTCAGCCCTTCCTGTGACTGTTGTGTGTACTTGAGTAGTACAAGCTACAAGTCTGACCCTAAGTGTGTCTTGTTGTGAAACTAGGGAATTAATTAGTACCATTTATATATTGAACATCTTTATGCAATTCAGCTGGGAACAGAGCCCTTAATTGGCAAAGATTTCATAAATAAAGATTCATAAAGTGATTTAGAAAACCAGCAATTAGGGATCAAGGTATACTTTTACAATTACTGTTTCAGAATATAGCCTCAAATACCTCCCTATGCAACAACTGGAGCACTATTTAAATAAGCATGAGAGAGACTAGATTTCACTAAAAATGGCATATATCAGCAACTTCAGCATGGGAACATCTGCTTCTCACAACTCCACGCTGGAAATGCAGACTGTCTTTCCTCTCCTTTGCTCTGCTTTTCAGTTTCAGACATGTCAATTCAAAAATAATTTCCATTGCATTCTTTTTCATAGAAATCCCAAGCATGGAAAAGTTAGATATGTCTGAGCTCCAGACTTTCTTTTCTAAGATAGTCAATTAGGATAAAGATACTTAAAATACAGTTCAAAGGCAGTGTTTCCAACATAACCCACATTAGGATGGCTCTCTTTGGCTTCTAAAGCTACATGCTTACCTCTGGGGTCAGTGCATTGTTATCTGAAGTCTGACTCGACAGCAAAATATGTGTGAAACCATCTTCTTTCCGCACCACAATGTCCCTGAAGCGGCAGTTACTTTCATTTTGACGCACGCTGTATCTCAGTCTCTTATCGAAGACATAATCTTTCTCCCCATCTAGTTTCCTTTTCACAGTGCTGTGTAGATTCAGGCTTCCATTGGCCAGAGAAGAACCTTTCAGATTGAAATAATCAGAACATAATTATGCCCATACCTTCAAAGAAATTGACTCATACTTTTTATTAGCTTAAACATAAGGTGACATTTTACAATAGCCTCTATATGATAAATTTGGTAAATCAAAAGTATGCCTGTCTTGTCAAATGCGGGCTCAAGCCATTCTTATTATTCCTTAGAGCTTTACACTCCAACTTTTTTCTTTTTTGTTTGATCAGACAAGCACTAGCTCAAGTGAATTATATTATATATAAAATACATATGTAGGACTGGTACTCTATATGGCATTCAGTTCTACTTTGAAGATGAAAGCAGTTATATCATGGTCCTTATCACTTTGGGATGATCACTGAATTTTGTACAAAATTCTAATTCAGCTTTGGATGAAACTTGACGAGTTTTGTCCATATTCAACTTTCAAAGTTATATTTACTTCCTTTCATGGTGACCAAAAAGTCATTACAGAATGGTAATTTTAACACAAGTTGTCTCCTGATGAGCATCTCTGTGACAGCAAGGGAAGTTCTCACTGAGCAGACAGGTACCTCACCTGGCATTCTTTTCTCTGCCCACTTGGTTAGCGTTAGAAGCTGCAGTTAGCTGTCACTGCTGTGACCCCAAGCTTTTCCTTATTACATTTTACAGTCACAGTAAGCTGACTTTCACCTTTTAATATTGGTCTTTGTACACTGAAAGGATTAATGCTGATGCTATTTTGGAAGGTATCCAGCATCAGGGAAAAAATGGAACCATGAAAAGAAAGATAAAGCTCCTCCTTAAAAACAAATGAGAGTAATAGCAGTTTATTCTGTCAAAGCAGTTTATTCTGTCTTACACTTTGTGTGACCTATATATTATTACCTTGCTCATCCTTACAGTTCTGTTGTTATAGGCAATGTTGGGACGCTAAGAATATCTTTACAGGATGTTTATGCAAGAATTCCTTTTCTAATTACAGATGTTTCAAGCTGCTGGTATTAAAAGGAAAGCAGGGACAGGTTGTTGAGAAACAGAGATTAAAGCCACTCTGTTCACTGAAATACTTTCCAAACTCGTTTCAACTTGGTGATTGCAGAGGTGACTGAACATTTGCAGTGGCCTGCAGAATCACTCACAGTATGTGAAATGCCCACACATACACTGCAATTATCACACGTGATGCTAAAAATATGTAGAGCGCTTATTAGTATTCAACTGCTGTGTCATTTGGCTTCTTCACATAATGAGCGTGATGTGTCTACACATTTATCTACATGTAGAAATGCACATTTGTTAAGAAGTCTGCTACTTCACAAAACTCAAGTTATATTAAGAGATCCCATCCAAAATATTGCCCTATTATATTAAACAGAGGATTTAAATGGTAAAGAAATTAAAAAATCAGAGGCAAGAGTGAACACAAAGTGGAGATGTGTTGGAGTAACTGTACTGATAGCTGGTGTTGAAGGTTAAGCCACACCTATTTCAAATACAGATGCTAAGAGAATGGTAGATTAATTTGCACAGATGATCCAGCTCAACCAAAAGCCTCATAGAAATATTTCCTTTCATATTTTTATGTTGCATTCTTCTTTGCTTGAGGAATGTGTTCCGTTTGTAAATTAAATAGATGATGGAAGAAATGATAAATTTTATCATAGTATTTTAATTGTATGCCAGCTGACAAAAATGTAACTGGGGTCATGCAAGATCTAAATTAAATATGAGAGGAACATACATGGAGAAGTGTCATTTCCAAGGATGGATGGTTAACAGAACAATATACAGTGAGTAAATCGTCTCAGTGTATACAGAGCATCCCAGTAATCTTGCTTAATCTGATAAACTGGACAAAATGATCAGGAAAATCCAAAGACAAAAATCAAGTGAAATCAGGCCCCTTTAGAAGGTCTGTTGCGTGGATGTGATGGAGCTTCTGACGGCTTGCTGTAAGGCATCCAACTGCTGTTGTGAGAGGTTTAATAGTTAGCACCTGCTGAATGCACACAAAGGTAAACAGTACCTTTGCATGCCAAGATGAAAAATGACTGTGACAAAGGAAGAAAGAGGCCGTCACCAAGTAATCTGTCATGCATGCGAAATGAATTAAGGATGTCACAAATTAACTAAGGAAGCTTTAGATACTTCTAAATGTAGTTTACCAGCTTAGGAAGGACTACATGATGCTCAGTCTAAGTACAAATAGAAAGCAGAAAATAATCCTTCCTTTAGAAGGAGTTTAATCTAATTATTACTTTGTTTTTAACTACTAGTATGACTTGGGAAGGTATCTAAACGTGTATCTAGAAGAAGTTTCAGTATCTTTAAGGAAAAATAGGATATTCCCAGACCACTGGTGCCATTTCCAAGAATGGCAATGAAGGATGCTGTTTGAGGAGACATCCCAAGCCTGGCCATTTTCTGCAGTCCTTTCCCCTGGTATCATCCCTGCATGTCGTGCAGGAATATGAGAAGATTCATCCTTCGTGTTTCCTTCAGTATTTGACTGTGGACCTTTGCATGGATTTCTCTAATCCCTTTTTGAGCCTGTTGATGCCGTCTGTCTCCTCAGCCTCCTGTGGTCTGAGTTTGAGAAGTTTAGTAACCACTGCAGAGGGAAGAATTTTCTTTCATCTGCGCTTTTATCTGATGATCCACCAGTTTCACCAAGTGGCCCCTAGTTCTGCTGTTGAGGGATTTAGGAAATGACAGTTCTGCATTTATTTTACTGGAGGCCTTGATGATTTTGTAAACTTTGATCCTATCCCCTCTCAGCCTGCCCCTCCCCACACTGAAAACTCTTTTAGTCCTGTAATCCACTTCACCACTTCAGTCGCCTGTCCCTGTTCTTGTCTAGCGTTCCACTGCCATGAAATGAGAGGAAATGCAGTGATATTACTGTTACTGCTGTTGGTACTGGAAGGTGCCTGAAGACTCCAGACTGAGTCTGGGCCTCTGTTGTACTTGGCACTGCAGAAAACAGATTAGAAATTTAGAATCTAAGAAGATAAGGTAGGCAAAGAGTATGAAAGGAGAGATCTGGTTCACCTTGTAGGCTCAAGAGTACTAAAACTGGTGCCAGGGAAGGGAGGGAATAATGATGTTGTGGCAAGAAGGTCTGGACTTCTCCTTTTATTAGCAGCGTGCATTTATGTTAAATGAAAAGTTCCATGCATTTCATTTTTTGTAGGTGAAATAAAACACGTTCCTTTCTTCTCACTGGTAGAAGAGTTTGGTATTCCTGTCAGCCCAACAGCCTTTCTCTGTCTCTTTTCTGTATTTCTTGTGGGCAGCGTTAATACTGTACACACTTAATAACAGTGTTCTGGTGATAATTTACCAATACTTTCAGACTTCTCCAGCTAAGGGAGCATCTGTAAGATATCTAAAAGCAATGGGTTTTTATCCAAACTGAGAAAGCAAGCATATTTGGCTGTCTTTTACTGCCAGTACATCTCCAGAATAAATAAAACTGAACAAGCTAAAAAAACAAGAGGAAGCAATGACTAAGTTCATAGAGAATATTTAAATCAAGGGCACCATGAGACTACAAAGATTTCTGTAATGGAGAAAAACAGTGGTTAGTGATACATGACAAGCAAAAATTCTTCAGCAGATGGTACAGAAATAGAGCTGTGTAGAAAAGGAAAGAAAATTAAAAGCGGATGTTTCTTGATGCTGTCAAGAAACCTGACAAAACAATCACTTGCAATTACAATGTATGGAGAGAAATAGCAACGTGATAACAGAAGGCAACAAATGTCATCAGAAGGAATGCTTTTGTTAGCTCCTGGGAGCATTGGTGGATGTTCTCCTGCAGAGGTTTTCAGCATTTTCCAATTTGCAGACCCTTAAATAACTGCCAGTAAAGATGACATTGCTCTCCTGATGAAGGGAAGTGTAGATGTCAGGAGAGGGGTTTTGATATAAAAGAGCTCTCCCAACTTCCGCGTATGAGAGTGCCATCCCCCTGTGATGCTGTAAATAGAATTCTGTGTGTACATCCGTTCATCTGCATTCATCTCTCTGGGGTAAATTGCTTGTTTGTGAGAGTTGTATCTGTGCTTAAGCAGGAAACAATTACCCATACCCATGTAGATACATACCAAACATCTTCATCTCTAGAACAACTGAAAATTTCTAAATATATTTTCAGTCCGTTCATCCACTTAACAGCGAAGGAGGCTGACATTCATTTGGGCTTCACATAGGCAAACTCAAAACAGACACAGATGTCTGTTTGGTAGGATGCTGCCCGGGGCTGCCCAGGAGCCGTGGATTCCAGGAGCCAAACCCAGGCTCTCCCGGCTCCGGCTCTGCACTGCATACAGCGCCGGGAGCCCTGTGAGTGCTGGTGGGGCACGCCGGGCTTTTGACTTCCAGACTCCGTGGCAGACAGCCCGAAACCTCTGGCACAGCTGGCTGCCTCTGAGCAGGAGGAGGGAGACCCGCCAAGCAGACGGCCACAGAACTGCAGGTCTCGGGGGACAGAGCGTGGGGACCTTGGCTCGGATTTGGAGAAAGTTTTGAAACCCAAGATGATTGAAAGAAAACTTCTGTTATTCAACACATGGGCATTTTTCTCTCAAAGTTTCTTCATTTGTAATTTGTAAAATTTCAGGCTAGTTTTAGTGTGATGTCTGCCCTGCTTAAAGTGATACTGCTGGGCATGTGGCAGGGTCACACCGGCATCTACTGTGAGTGTGAATGCTGGGGGAGGTCAGCAAATTGCAGTAAGTGGTGCCAGATTCTGTGATTTGACATTTCAAATAATGCAAAATTCCGTATCAGGAAACATGATTTCTCAAGTTTAGAGGGCAGCATTAAGAAAAAAGGCTGGTGTTTTTCTTTAGAGCCTTTTTCACTATTGCTGCTTGCTCTGGCTTTGGTAGTCTCATTTCTCCTCTTTGTAATTTTACCCACTATGCATGTGCTGGGGATGACAGAGAAAGGCTGGAGGGATTTCCGACTGTGGTATTGCTGCTGGGTATGGTTTTCTTAGAGGAGGACCGGATTGGGAGTCACAGATCTCCTGCCTTCAGGGAAGTCAGCAATGCAAGAGCTGCACGCATCAGCCAGAAGGCAGGAGCTCCAGCATGGCCAAACGCGGGGCTGCTTTCTCCCAAAACTGAGTGCTCACAGGGGACCTTGCTTCTATGTTCTGTGGGGACAAACAGCAGCTCATTTGACCTTAGAGTTCTTTAGTCCTTAGCTTAAAAAAACCCAAAAATCTACATACAGGAATCAATGCTGTGAAAAGATGCATTTTGTAACAGAACTTCCTCAGTGAATAACATAAAATATCTGTGGTTAGGTATGTAAGACTGTTTAGAGGAGCACCTTACTTTTTAAGCAGGCTCACATGAGCTCAAACTGAAGAGGCAATCTGAAGTGTCACTGGCATCATCTGGGCTACTTACACGTTCACAGCTGACTGTATATTCAGGTGTATCTTCAGTGAGGCAGCTGATGTCTGTGTTACGAGCCACCAGCCTAAGATGTAACTAGTAAGACTGGGCCAGGCAGCTCTGCTTCCCAAGGCAAGGGGAGTTTTTTAGGTTGCTGGTGGAGTGAAAAATGGAAAGCTGGGTGTTATAATTCATGTTGACTTCTGAAAAGTTTTTGGCCAGGCGATTCACAAGAAGCTGTTAAGGAAATGAGCGCTATCACGGGCTATGGAAAGTGGCTAATAAAAATAAATAATTGGAACAAATGGTTACTTTTCATCGTGTCAAATGATTAGTAGTGGCTGCCCCAAGGACCTGCAGAAGGATTAATTTATTTAATGTACGTATTAATGAACTGAGAAGAGAAGTATGAGAGGAAATTTTGAAGAGAATACCAAATAAGTAGAGTAAATACTATGAAAGATTTTGAAGAGCTCCAGTGAGTCATAACAAAAAGGTGAATTGGCAGCAGTAAAGCAGATTAAATGCATAATGAAAGGAATCATACATATAGCCGTGCTCTAAATTAACTGCAACTGGAAGGGAAAAGTAACCAAGAACAACTGTGTATCACTCAATGAAAACCTTTATGCAGTGTGTAAGAGAAGAAAAAATAATACTCAAAAGTTTGTTTTGCCACTATATCAGTAAGCAGTAGGAAATCATTTGGAGCAGCTCCTGCTGTTTTTAAAAGGTATTTAAAAAAACACACACACCGAAAGCAAAGGTCAAAAATAAGCCCACGAAAGCAAAAAAATAAAGAAATACAACCAAACATTCCAAAAGTTGATATAATAGGATGTCATGTATGGAAGTTTCTGCTACAAAGCACATCTACGCTGTGAGTTTGATAGGCTGAAAAAAAGATAGGACGTACCTAGATAATGAGAAGATAGGCAGTTGCATTAAACTGCATAATACATTGCAGAGAACATAAATTTATGTTCTCTGATAGTTTATTATTTGTGAATTGAGCCAGTCAGTAACTATGATTAGAAATAAACTTTTCCTATAGTCAAATCATCTAGTTCACTTCAAGGCTGTCTGTCTTCCACTAGAGAATGTCTTGCAAGTTCTCACATCTCTAGTCAATGGCAAAGGTGAGAGTCTGGAAAGTCTGATGATTCCTCAATACTGAAAAGCATTAATCCTGAAGACCTTGAATGTTACTCTGGACACACTTACCAGGATATGTTAGCAAGAGTGGTATTAATTATACCATAAAATGGTTCTGGTCTTTGTAGACCGTTAGGTTTGTGCACGTACAACCGCTCAGTGACTTGGCACTTAATATAGACAAACATAATTTCAGTGTAGGCATTCCTCAGCCGTCGTTCCTACTACATGCCTCGTCATCATGTCCTCGTAAGAACTTTACACTGCAGAGCCATGAACAAAGCCCACCCCGTTTTGCCTCACTCCATAGAAAAGAGGAGAGATGCTAACTGAGAAAAATGCCATAAGGAATTGGGGAAGGATGTGAAACTTATGTGCTTCTCACCATATCTCTTGTGTAGCATGACAATCACTATTCCAGGAGTGGACTTTGCAGTTTCTGCAATTAACCCCCCCTCAAAAGACTATAGTTGTTGAAATCACATACCAATTCCGTTCACAACAGGCGATTCATTACTAACTTCCAACACGCTGGGCAAATTTTGCTCTCCTTCATGATCATTTATATCCATGTTTTGCTGTTGTGAGCCATTCCCAAAATGTCTAGAATCCTTTTCATGACTGCCATCTCCATTCTGCAGACCATTCTGTGGCTTTTTCAGTGGCATGATCTGTAAACCGCTGGGAGTAGTTCGGTAAGTTACAGTTTTAGCAGCCCTGTCATTAGCAGATGCTGGCTTTGCTGCGTATCCTCGTTTCTGTTTTTGTAGAGAAGGATTAATTCTCTTCCTTTTGTGTGCTGACCCTTTTGCCTTCCCAGATTCAGAAGGTCTATGTGATATTTTCTCAAGAGATGACCCTCGGCTTTCCCGTAAAAATTTTGTAGTACTGGTCTGTTTTCCATGTCTCGATCGCTTTTCTCTACTAACGTGTAGTCCATTGAACTCATCAATAAATTCCTCACAATGTAGGAGATGATGTTCAGGTTCCCAAGTATCTTCATTGCTTCCGTAACCTTTCCATCTGATGAGATATTCCCACTTGCCCTTCTTGTTCTTCCTTTTGTCTACAATCCTCTCCACCTGAAAGAAAAAAACAAACAAGTATCACGTTAGACAGAAAAATACTTTGGTCGTGAGAAACATGTTCTTCGTTTGCAGCTACAAAGGCCTCCTTGACACTGTTAAGCAGCTTCAGTATTCATGAGATTCAGCCCCTACAATGCAGCGCCTAAAATCTGAAGTGACTCTGACACTGAAAGCCTACCCAAGTTGGCCAAAATGCAGCAGCCTATTTTACTGATTAAAACTTATCTTAATTTCATAGGATGCAGTCCAACACCATATTCCCATTGGATCCTGTATGGAGCATGCTGACTGCTGATGAGAGTCTAATTGGTGTGTGTATAAACTGCTTGACATAGCATTTAGGAATTGGAGTTACATGGTTCTGTTTGACGAAGAATTCTCATGAACAGACCTGGCAATACATGAGAGGAACGCCATGGCCCCAGTGGTATTTTGACAGCAAAGCCTTTCTCCCTTCTAAAAACGTTAGGAAAAGATGTAAAATGCCTGATCAAATCTGATCTGGGAACCTGCAATAGCCAATGTGGGAAAAAAAAAAAAACAAAAACAAAAAAACAAACAAGGGAGAGCCTAAAAATCTGTGGTGAAGCCATGATTTCATTGAAAATGTGTTTGTAAAATGAGTCTACTTTTGTTATATTCCTCAGCTACCTCTTGTTTGAAAGAGCTAGCCAAGGCATCTTCTGCTATACTGTTATTTCCTGATCATTCTCCTGAACCCACACATGGATTATGTACCTTTAAATGCCTTCTTCATGCCTTGAAACTATCCTGAACAGAGAACCAATTAGAAAAAAAAGTCTATTTTCATTCCTGCACAAAAGGACTACACTGGTCTGCTGTCTGAGCACACGTTAATGGTATCACGTTGTGGAAAAGAGAGTACAGCTGAAGAAATCTTTGTGCTGCCTCAGCACTGCAACATCTCAAATAGAGGGAGAGCATGTAGAGACACCCAAGCAGGGCTAGTGATCTGTGTTGTCTTGTCAAAGAAACTGGGAGAGGTTTGCTCACTTCAGAGAAGAGGGGAAATGTAACAATCTGAAGTGAGTTAAAGACAGATATGAAAAGATAGCTGTGATCCGTTCTCTGTGCACTGGACAGCAGGTCGTGGGTTTAAACTGCATCAGTTGTAATGCAGATAAGCCATTAGGAAAATCTTTGTGATGGGAGAATGATTAAGCACAGAACAGGTAACTTTGGTGAAGTAGGGAGGGTTCTAGAGCAAACAAGTTTTGTTAGACAAACACCTGCCATGAGCAGCCCTTGTTGGAAAATGGGCTATGGTTAGAAACCTTGTGTAGTCTCTCCCAAGTTTTGTTTTCTGATTAGTTTTTTTTACTTCTTGAAAATGTGGCTTATGAGGAGGAAGGATACCACCAGTATAAAAAAATCATTATTTTAAAACAAAAGTGCTGTTGTTAACTTAGGAAAAATAAGCACATGGATGGCTACTGTATTATTTTTCATTGCTTGTCAAAGAAAAATTATCTCATATAAAGAACAACAGTGGAATCTGTTTGGAGCATTTAACCTTGAAGAAGGGCAATCACTTTAGCTCCCCTGTTGGAGCAAACCAACAGAATAATTCTGTCTGTTCACTGGCTGGAACTGTACATTTATAGAAATCGAGGTGGGTTCCCCAAAGGAGTCTAAAAGTAATTAGCTTCCAAACGTTGTACTTCTATCCCAATTCATTTACATGGGAACAGCGCTAAGATATCTGTGTCTGAATCAGACTGCACAGCTTTCCTCCATCTCCTGGGCACTCAACTGCAGCACCCAAACAACTCATCCTTGTGCTCTGTTTTGCACAGAGCCTCTCCAGAAGCAAAGTAAGGAATCATCTTTGTTTGGAATTTAGCGCGGTCCCTTTCAGGATTGCTCAGTGGCAAAACAATTAACTGAAGGCAAGTTTGAGATCATTTGTTTGAAAAGAAGAAGAGTACTCAGAAAAAATGAACTGCCACTTTTCTGTTCCTGTTTGGAGACTTTCAGTTGTCAAACTCATAGACTTATGATCTTGATGGCTTTATATTGAGCAGCTGTCCAAATGGTCCCTGCCTTTAAAATACTCCTTGTCCTCCTGACTAGCCGGTGAGACCCTACATCAAACTGTGGAACTCCCTGGTGGCCAGTGGTTGTCTGTGGGTTTGTTACTTTAATTACTGCAGCTCAGTGTAACAAGGAGCAAAACACACACACATATATATAAATATATATAATGGGGAAAAAATTAAATAGCTGCAAAACTCAGTAGACCACAGCTATCACTGCTGCAGAGAATTCAGCTGAGCACTCCTCTATCTGTAAGAGCTACACAATGCAGGCACTTGCCTCCACTTTTATTGAGGAGCTTGTAGTTGGGAACAAACGGCGTCAGGTTAATGCTTTGTCAGAGCAACTTGGGTCTCGGCATTCCCCCACTTGCTTACCAAAGGAAGAACCTCAGAAAGGATGCACAAATAACTTGCCATTTTCAGAAATGCATATAAAAACAACTCTTCAAGCTTACCTCTTTTCCCTCATGGACGTACGGGTAAGCTTATCCGAACCCTTTACTCATTTGCACATTGCTGTGCTGATACAAGGAGGGAAAGTGAAGGGAGGAGGTTCCTTGGAAAGCGTTCTTTATTTTGGAAAGCACTGAACTATTTTGGTGATGAGGCATTATGAATTTCAATTAAGGGAATGAAAGGAGGAAAAACATTAGTAGTCTTTGTTTCTGGAAACAAAATACTGGCAATGGAGAATGTGATTAACCCGTTCAAAACAACACATAGTGAGAAGTATTTATGAAATTGGGTCAAATTTAATAAATGGCTTCAGAAAAATTATCCAGTAAGCACATATATTTGGGAAAGACTAAGCAGTTCATGACAGCATTTTCAGAACAAAGCCATGAGGGTTTCACTTCAAATTTAACTGAACGAAGAGGCACTGAGTAAAATATATTCAAATTTCTTGTTTCTGATCAACCCCAACTCTGTAAGGAGTTCAGTTTTGCCCAGCAAAACCATTCTGATCAATTGTTTTGCTGGGGAGAAAATTAAAAAAAAAATGCAGGCTGATCTGAAATTATTGTCATTGAGTTTTTTTGGTCCAGCCACCATAACCAGTGCCTTGACTAATGGTGTACACAAGGTCTGAGCAGACATTTGTCTTGTTCTCACTACCATCTTCTTGCTTGTTCCTAGATGCATTTGTGGGTGGCATCAAACATCCTTGACCTCTCAACGTGGTCTCTTCTCTTTCTCAGGGCTTTAAGTTCTCCATCAATTTTTATCACTGTTGGAGTGCCACCGTGTTCTTTCACTGCATACAGTGAAGTGCTTCAGTGTAAGCATAAATATCAGTTTGTTATCCACACCTGGTACAGTCTGTCCCATTTTCCTTATATTCATGGTCCACAGTAATAATAAACATACCTTAGAAAATATATTAAATGATATATATATTTGTTTTAACAGGTAATACTTAAAGTAATAACCTTTCTGCATTGACTTCAGATTACACAAGTTCCTATGAGTTTTCTTAATGAGAAATAATTCTGTGACAGCTAGTGATTAATAGAAATAATTTCATTCCCTTCCTAGAACAAACAATGCACAGTCTTGGGAATATGCAGAAAACACCTACGGCTTCACTGTCTGATTTTCCATTTTCCCCTGTTCTGTCTTTAGTGAGAACTCAATAAAATCTTCCTGAAAGTGACCTTGGCAGTTACACCTTGCCAAATCTCTAAATTCAGTACGTTTGGGTTGGAAAACCAAGTAGTGATATCTAATAAAACTGAAATGAGTGCAGACAAAGTGTAACAGAGGGGTATCGCAGTGAAGAGAGTGCTAGAACTGACATATCCCATTACTTGCCTGGAATCTCTGTCTCTGTCTCTACTAATTCTGGAGACCTGGTGTGCTGATATGTTACTATATAAATATGTTTTAAGAGAACAAATAGAAGAAGACCATAGAGCCTGTGCATGTGCATTTGCATCAGACTCTCTACTTCCAAGTAAACTTAGCAGTATGCACAATGGCAGAAACGAAGATAAAGTCATAAATGAACTCCTTTTGTTTAAATAATTAACATTCTAAACTTAATGTGAAATTTAAAATATCTCAATTGATTACAGTGCAAATATGAGGAGCTTCAAGAACTTCATGATATAATCTAGTGATCAAGAGCTTATACATGCTGAGTATAATATACGGTTTCCTCCTTCACAAAAGTCTCAGGGTCAAACTCACCCACTGAACCACACAGTGTTATTGTCAACTTAAAGAAAAATGTAGGCCAAGTTAAAAAGGGTAATTCCTGCTGAAGTATTTCTGTAGATACACGTGTAAAATCAGAGCCCAATATACTTATCTCACAGCTCACAGGAACGCTGCACAGCATCCGTAAAAAATCTTTATGCTCTCAGAAAATACCTTCCAGGAGGTATTTAGCAATTTCCAGAAAGGCCTGGAAGACCACATGTCTTCTTAGTCATTTCCAAAACAATTACAAGGCATCCCTTCTTTGTCCATGCGTATCTATTTAAACAATTTAATGTAATCTGTGATGTTCAGATGGTCTTTTTTAGCATACAGTACAGAGTGTGGACTGGTTTCAAGACACGCTAGAAAAACTGCTTCTCATTACTCTAAATTACAGCACTCATACTGTTTTGTATGTTGGTTTTTGTCTTTGGAGGTCTTTGTCCCATGTTGTGCCTCAGGCTGTTGGAAGGGATATAGATGGGTATTTGAAGAAGGCGCCAAGAAAGGCAGTAAGACTTCTGAGAGAGATAAATGCCATCTGATTCAACATGTTTGTTTTCTAAAAATTCATTACTGCCCTAACTACCTCCTTCTTCTTATCTTCTCTTAAAAAATAATGTATTCATTAGTTCTAAATCTCTTGCTTGCTTGTATATGTGACGTGTTTCTCTTGTAGTTTTATTTATTTTCTCAAAACCTGCTAATCAGAGCATTTGTTCCAGATGTATG